GATGAAGTTCCTTTGGTGGATTGAGGGCTGAACATAAGTGCTGTGCTGGAGTTCTGCATCCTTGACAGCATCTCATCCTCTGACAGGAAAAGTGCAGCGCTTCTTCTTTGAAAATCTGAGATATTGTAAAGTTGAAGCACCAAGAGCATCAGAACCAAAGGGCTGGAGTGCATTCTGCCTCTATTGAACACGTCTGAAAAAGGCGCTGATGATCCAAACAGAAATCCAGGGGGCACAAAACCTAAGATTATCTTCAGGATTATTTCCTCCACCCATCCCTACTGCCGACACACACACAGACGTTCACATCAGCAGCAGTGCTACTATCCCAATACCGGCACCGTCAGTAAGGAGACGCATTCTGACTCCACGGCTCATACAGAGCATGTTGCTAACAAAGAGCAGTTGTCTTTGTTCAGCTGGTGCAGGAGAGGGAGGCGTGAACAAGGAGGGCTAAGGATGGAGGATGGGAAGAAATGTTGTCTTCCCTTTTTTTCTGTTTGAGCTCAAGAAGCAGCAGACGAGCAACATTTCCCCCACTAATCAGACACATACACAATTCCATCAGTTCAGATCCAAAGTCCTGAGCTGCAAGCACTTACTGTGCGTAGGCAGGTGGGTTTAATGGCCATTAGATGTGTTTGACACTAGTATACGGTAGTATATAATGTAAATAAATGTATGTCTTTTAAGCATGCTGTATATCTCTGTGAATGAGTTTAGCTTTAACAATGCAGAGACTGGGCTCCACCAACATAAGCAGATGTGCGAGACAGTACTTTGGTACAGTGGTAATGGCATCAAAGTAAATTATATATGTATTCCTTTTTGAACAAATCCAAAATGGGAATGGGAATCGCCTTTTGAGCCCGTCCTTCACTCAACACATTGTTGGAGGGCACTCTGTCTTTTCCGCTGCTATTCAAGAATTCATCCTCTGAGAAACGTGTAATATCATGGCAATAATCAGTTTGAAATTAAGTGATGGACCAGCGGATGGCCATGGTGAGAACCTGAGAGAGAAACACATGTGTCCATCAACAAACAACTACCCAGCAGGAAGTAAACAAACACTGTGTATTGACACTCGATTCGTTCTCTGGAGACACAACGCAGCTTGCATGCTTCCATGATGCGAACATACTGTTGATCATTATTTAATGATGACACACGAATGTCAAGGACATCCTTGATTCTATGCTGTCGTACTTTGTAAAGTATTGGGTTGAGAATAGTTCAATTAATTAGAATATTCTAGATGGCATTGCTGTCCTGTTTTTCAAGTGAAATAATGTAGTTTAAAACTCTCCACAAAATTAGGTTGACTTATTAGAGCAGTTTTCTTCTCCTTTGCAAACATCAGTGAGCTGCAGATGCCCCATGTCAATTAAATATTAATGGTCTGGGTTTCTGGTTAATGTTTTTAACATAGGAGCATAAGAGGCAGGACTGATAAGCAAGAGGCCGTCATCTTTTCTCTTACTGGATGCCCCGCCTAAGCAAAATTACCTTTATTAATGTTTTTTGTAGATTGCAAACAAGTTCAAACAGCTTTGTCACATATGCACTCATTCAGATGGACACACACACACGCTTCAGAATTTTGATAGGGCCAAAAAAAAATCAAACAAAGCCTGTGTTTGATCAAATCCAAATGAAAGCAAAACCCCAAGAGTTGCTGCTCAATAGCTTTGCTCAAGAGCAATTATAAAGGGACGCCTTGATTTTGCTGTTAAGTGCCTCTTATTGGTTGCAGAGAAATCTAATTTGGACACTAATGCAAAGTGACATGTTCAACAGGAGTCAGAACCCCATCACCTCTGTGGCTATTAGGCCAAATCAGATGAGACGATTGCCAGTCACACTCACCCTGAGCCCTCGGCAGTGCGACTAGATGTAAACAGTCAAAGGAGAACACAGCCTTACGTTTCTATAAGGTCTGACACACTTTACACAAAAAAAGCAATCTTCCAAAATTCTCATATACGGCTAAAGCAGGTTCCAGACCTTCTTAAATCCTTTTCCTCTGAATCTGACCGTAGCTGAGACTGACATCACTAATGGGCTGAATTTGAAATTTAACCTCATCTGATAATAAACCGATTTGTCTTTTGTGCATTATTGTTTGGAAAATGTAATGTACATGATTAATTGTGTCAAGCATTTGGGAACAGCAGGACAAGTCGTCTGTAGCTCAGTCAGCATCATGAGAGAAACGTCGATCTTCTGATCAATCAATCAAAGCAAAAAGGTGAATTCCGCAAAATGTGAAAATAAAATGAAGGAAATAAAAGCCACATGGCAAACAATGGAAGTAGCCCACCACCGGTACACTCCGCTGCAATCAGACACAACAGCCTCTGCAAAAAATGCAACCAGAGTGAAGCTCATAATGTTCAATCTGTGTTGAGCCGGCTGCTGATTCAGCTCACAGGGGATTTTCTGAGGTTGTAGTTTGTGGTGTTGTGTTAGGCTGCTTACTGTACGCTCTTTCCGTGTCTGTTTCCGCCTGATAGCAGACTCTTTATTTGTTTATCATACTGCGGTTGACGTGGGGAGACGCAGGCAGGACATTTTGACCATAACAAACGTGGGATTATGTTACGGGAAAGGAAATCTAAATACAATTGGTCATTGTTCTTGAGAGTGACAGTGTTTGTCATGTGCATAAACACACCTGTATGTATGTGTGTGTCTCTGCACGAGTCAGCAGCAGTTCGTCAGCAGCGTTTGCCGTTGCCTGGCAGATGGTAGTGATGGTACCGGGGAGTGTTGTGCTCGTGACATAATGTCACAACAAGGGGCTACATGTGCTACATGTTCAGAGGCAGGTCTGTGCTGTAGTTACAGCTGTAAACAGCATTAAGCTGGTCACATTAATGCTATCAGACCCGATCAATGTACAAAAATATGAATGAAAACTAAAACATTTACCTTGCAAACACAATTCTCATCATTGGATTCTACCAAAACTGTAGTGTTGCTTCTGAGACGACGGCATCACCAGTGCACCTTCAGTGAGTTTGTCTCTCTGTGTCTTATCCTACTTGTCATTTTCTTTCAACATTCATCTCATTACTCCTCAACACTTCTCATTTAATATTCCACCCATCAACGACACAAAACAAGCACCAACGAGAAAACTGACACCTTGTCTTCTCAGCATAATATAATGGAGCCAAAAGTTGAGAAGAATTGCGAAAGGTAAAACGTGGGGCAAACCTTTCCGTGAGACTAGTTTCCCCAGAGGGCCATCTGGAGGGAGCTGTGTGATCGGAGATCTAATAAACCGGTGGATATGCTGCACCGCCTTTCCTGGGAGGGAGTTGTTGCCATAGCAACCACACCCCAAGCCCTGCAGGTTACTGGGAGGAAATGAGGATGTGGCGGTAACCAACAGGGTGACTGCTGAATCAACTTTCAGCTCTCTGTGATGGCAGAACGATACAAGATGCTCCCACAGGGCAGTTTTAGATACCAAAAAGGTCTTTGAACGAGTTTCAGTTGGCCTGCAGCAAAATGAACTACATTTCACTAATGTTTGTCTTTAGAAAGGCTTTACTCTATATTTCACCCACGCTGTCAGTCGGCACTAAATCCAGAATCTCAAAGTTGTTTTTTTTAGATATGACTTACATTTTTTAAACTCTGTCTGACTGTAATATAAAAAAATCAGACCAAACTGTTACCAAACTGTTACAATAACATAATTCCCATAAAGACTATAGCAGATTGCAGTTTTAACGTTTGTTAAGTTTTTGTATTACAGAGCATTAAACACATTACATTTTAGGAACAAGCGTGCATTTCATTGTTGGGACGACAGCAAAAATGTGTTCCAAGCTTCATAGTTTTCTGAATGTATTCTTTCCCTAAAACACAACACAGGAAGACTTATTATGGAGCATCATAGAAGAACCTGCACAGGCCATTAGAGTAGAATTCATAGAGAAGAAAAACACTGAAATGAAAACATTTCTGTGATCTCTACACAAAAAAGTAACATTTCTGCTTCACACAAGCCGTCACTGTGATGAATACTTCAGATTGGCGATAACAGAAGGACACATAGAATAGTGACCGGGGTCTAAGTACTGAAGCCGAGTGTGCAGGTGAGGGAGATGGAGAAGATGAGGTGGGTGCAGTTGACTAACAGGTGCACTGAAGTGAGAGATCGGAGGAAGCTGAACTGTGACAAACTGTGACACACTGTGAATAACCCGACATCAAAATATCAACTGCTGCCACGTGTTATCATTTTTGGTTTGAATGTAAAATGGGTTGCTTATTTGCATTTAATCTGTCACTTTCAATATAAATAATGAACTGATATTATAATCATCCACTCCATAATCACTCCATCAGTGTTTATTTGTTTGTTTATAATTGCTTATCTGTTCAGTTTTATTGTTCTATTTTTGTGTCAGTACATTTTGAGAGATGCCACAAATGGGTCATATTTTCCAATTACGCTGATTCTGATTAATTCCAACATGAACAGCCAAAAACATGCACGTGGCATCTGCCTGGCACATTTTCTGAGATGATCACATCTCTTCTTATGGTTGTGGGCGATGAACCTGTCAAGCAGCTCCCAAAGCAGCATCTCAAACAGCAAGTGATGAAACGTTGTCATTTTCACTGCCCCCCTTAGAGAGGAGAGGGACGAGGAGGAGGAGGAGGAAGAATCCAAACAAGTGACACTTCTGAGAGAAAATACTTTTTCAACATGACTCCTTTGAGCAATTGTTGTTTTATGTGTGCGTGAGAGAGACTGACATTATCCACTTTAAAGTTTCATTTCATTACCATCATTATTATAAATTATTAATTATCATTAATATTACTGAGTCCATGGCACCAAAAAAGTATTGTGATGTCCTCCACTCAAAAGCCTTTCCCTGACAGAGGAATACATTTACTTCATGTTGACGTGAGCAAGGACAAAGATATTTTAAAACGGTGAGCTTCTGACAAATCCAAACAACCAGTGCAGTGCGCCATACGCGTGCGTCCCCGCAGCACATCCATCACGCGGTTCACCGTGCGCAGCTCGCGGCCGACGGGGGTGGGATTTATTTTGTTTTTGTTCCCATGGTTTGCGATGATGCCCGAGCAGATGGTGAGGTTGCCTGTTCGGGCACCGCTGCTGGTGTCGGACTCGTTTTAGTGTAGCTGACCTGCGCCAGGCAGCTGCTCGTCCCTGGAAGCTGCGCGCCGCATGCAGCTTTTACCACTTCACAAGTGCCACCTTTGTCTACAGCGCGGGGTGCATCTGAGCAGATGTTCCGAGCGGAGGTTTTTGCACAGATAAGATTTGTCCTCGTAAATAAGGGAGATAGATAGATAATCTACCCCCACCCCTCAGACCCTCCCCGTGTCATCTTGGAGAGCTGCGGATACCGCATGGGTCAGATACAGTAGCCTGCAGCAGGAGGATCCTACAGAGGTGAGAGCATGTGTTTATTTTATGCATCTGCTGAAATTGTGATGCATATGTCTGTGAAATACATCCACCGGTGTGTTCTGTGTGTATTTTTCGGTAGAAATTAGGCTGTATCACTTCGGTGTGCAACTCGTAAAGACGATGTCATCATTTGTACGTTATAAGAAATCCACGTATCCACAAAGATGCAATGGAACAATGACGCGTTTTTTCTTGGGACTTCCTGCAGCGCTGGTATCGCCGTAAAGGGGAAATGTGGTGTAGATTTTTTTAAATTAAGAAACAGATCTGATCGTAATCTTAAAAGTTGAGCATATTCATTCACGTGTTCTCAGCATGTATGTGCGGGCGGATTAGACTTGTGCATACAATGTATACAAGTAGTACAACTCCAAGGACATGTGTTTTGCAGTATATGGGTATTGTGAATCGTTCTCAGGTCAAGACAATTTGTGAAAAAAAATAGATGAACAAAGGGAACCAAAACATACAAAAATACCTGTGATAGTATTTAGGTACGTTGCCTGCTCATACTTCTACCTAAATAGCCATGAAAAGAACATCATCCAGGTGAACTACAGGGCTTATTATTACAATAGCAGTCTTGCCAGCAGTGACATTTCACTGCACTGTGATTGCGGGTTCATCTAACAGTGAAGTGCAACATTTACACAAACTGCAGCCTCACTGTCCAGTGCAGAGCTGCCGAAAGCAGCTGAGTTGCAGCAGCAATGCGCTAATATGCTCCATCAAACCCATTTGTATGCCTAAGAAATTGTCAGATGTCTCTGATGGGAAGACAAAAGAGAGGGACAGGGTTTCAGTATTTCTACTCGGGACATTTGAGAAAGCAGGTGGAGTGTGTATTTTTAGGGTCACCTTTATCCATGGGCTCTTTATTGAGACCACTAATAGCACAAATTAGATCAGTATACAGTACTGGTAAATAAATGATCGAGTTATATGTTCGTCACGGCGTGATTTTCCCACTGGCTTTCTGAAAACCACAACCACACCACTTGTATGGAGTTCACTTTGTCTTGGGAGAAAAAGCAGACAATTGATCCAGATGTCACCCTATGAGCCAATGATATGTGTAGGAAGCCTTGGCACCTTCCCCCAAACTCCACAAGGCACAGTGACGTACCTCCTCAGCTGGTGATGGGGAGTGTGAGAACATGCAAAACAAAGTCACGTCTTGTGTGAGCCACACACAACAGCGACATGTGTCAGTGGTTCCCACAGCAGTGTAGACAAGGGTGCAACAGCTTGACCTTCTCCCTTTGTGATTGCCATCTGAAGGGGAACATGGAAACACGTCAGGCCTTTGTAAGGTTTAGTCAAGATGTTATGACTGAATCAGCTGTTTTTTCATTCTTACTTTCATTTTCAATGGACAAGGTGTATGGATCTTTAGCGTTATAGGATATGATGAGGTCAGATTTAACCAAAACAGTGATAAAACGCTGTTACTTTTTTTTCTAATTTCTAATTCAATCAGATTTATGCTATGGTGCATTTTATCGTCTCATCTCATCGTCTCACCTTTCATGGCTTATCCAGTGTCGGGTCGCCAAGGGAACATTTCCACCAGGGGACCCCAAACTTTGCTTTCTCAGGCTGCATCTAGCAGCTCTGACTGGGGGATCCCAAGGTGTTCCCAGGCCAGTGCAGAGATGAAATCTATGCTATGGTGCCCTTTATGGAAATCTAATTTAAAAGCATCATTCATGGCTCAATCTTTTTCTAATCCAAGATAATCTTCCTCTGCATTCTTTCAAACTGTGATTCCCCTGAGATTAGAGATTCGCCCCGTCAGTGTTTTTGATCGATAATCCGATGACAACAAATTGTCTCTTTATCAGCATTGGGACTTTGGGAAGGACAGATGAGATGTAGGGGGAGGATGAGGGCATAAGCAGTGAGAAACATTACCGAGCGCCAGCTAACATTTAGTCCACAATCAGCTCAGTTCTAAGGGGAAATAAAGCAACCAGCCAAATGTGCAGTTAAAAAGACATTGTAAAAGCATTAAGCATACTTTTCTTCCATTCCATACATTCTTTTGAGTTTGGTCATTGTACCTTCAGCCCTGTCGGGTTGCCGTTCCCTCCTGTGGCCTTCCACCTCAAGGAAGCAAAGCTCTCCATCCTCTGCCTCCTTACTTTTCCTCGTTTCTCTGATTGAGTGCACACGCAGCCTACTCCTCCCCGACTCTGCACCTCTGCCATCAGCAGCTGCAACAAAGTCCTGTGCGGTGTGAATGAGACGCTTGCATACTAATGGAGCAGGAGCAGGATATCTGTGAGGCAGGTCAGCACATGGAGGAAACATTGGACACCACCATTCAGCTTCCCGGCACCACACGATAACTCTGGGATGAAAGTTATTGTCAAGAAATACTGGCGCCTCATTGCAGAAACCTAGAAATACATTATCACAGCGGGGTGCATGCTGAATTTTGAGCAAATGTGGAGGACATGATTGTGTGAACTGTTGTTTTATCGTATGGTTTCATACCAGTAGCAATTCTCCCTGACATTCTTCCTCTAGCTGCCTAATGGCACTGATAGCTCTGCCCATGTTTTCTCATTTGGTTACGGAACAAACATGCCCGTGGCGTAGCCGTTGCTATGGTGATACCATGTCTGGGAGCCTGTTGTGCGGCTGCCGATTCTGAATCCGTTTACATTTTGCACCCAGTGAAAAGGACCTTAGTAATAGAAACCAAAGAAAATAAAACCAAAGCCTCCTATGAAAAATTATGCAGCGTGTGCGATCAAGCGAGGTTCCTCCCGGCAGCACTGGTGGCACATGGTGAAATATAGGATTAGCAGATGGCATCAAAACTTGTAGAAATGTCCTCAAACCAACTTCAGAGACATTTTTCCTCCAAAGCAAAGAGTCTTTTTTACTTCTTCCTCTTTAAAAAATAACTACCGCCTGCGCACATACACGCCTTCATTTCACAGATCTAAAGAGGAATGCTCCTTCCATCTGACTGCACTGCACATATATTCCTCAAGTGACTCTAATCGTCTTTACTGCTCACTGTATTATGCCATTGATAAGTTATAACCTTTCTATAATAGCAACGCCTATGCCACAATTACATATCGCTGTCTTGTTGCAAACCTCAGGGCCAGAGATCCTCTGAAGGATTAACAGAACTCAGTGGAAACATCAGCTCCTAGGTGAGAATTTGTGAGACAACGTATGTGTTTTAAATGTGTAATGTGAGCTTAAATTAAAGCCCCATAAGGATTTGGACAGTGAAGACACTAAATCCCCCTTGCTGGAGGCTTCAATTCAGACAGTCAACTGGATAATCCCAATCTGTTGAGGGATATTTTTCTGCCTCCGTCCAGTGGTTGGCCCACGCATGCCTGTCGCAGCGTGTGAAGTGATTTTTTGGCGTTGTGGAAATGTGACATGGTCACAGTGTGGATGCATGTGTATTTGTGCATCATAAATGGCACATAAAGAAAAAATACCTGGCAAGAGTCTGGAAGAATTGAATTTAACTCTTAAACTATATCAAAACATCAGCTATGTTATCTCTCACAACTTGTGCAGTATAATCCAAGTCTCCTTCATCCAGTAGTGTGCTCATTACTACCAAACAAATGCATCTTCACTAAAACATTACTTATTCAATCACAAATCAGTCCAACGCTTGAGCAGGCTCACTGAGTGAGTAATTCAAATGCAAATGGACAGTATTTTTGTGGGTTAAACTCAATAGTTAACTCCGACCACGTTAGTGGAGCTGGTCTGTGGCCAGCGTCATGCTATATGTGGCCCAACTGGGCATCTTGTTAGTATGTATTTGCATACCGCGGTGAGTGTGAAGAAAAACATCTGTGAAAAGAGCATATGGGCTGAGTAGAGCTTCCTTGGGTCAAAGAGGTCAACAAGAACACGCAGTGACAGAAATGTGGGAACGGATGCAGACCCCCCCAGAGCTTCCATACTGCCAGAAACCTGGTGACAGGTGTCTGAGTTTTATGGGCTCAGCATGAAAGCAGTGATTACTCCGCTTGTCTTCTCCTATTTAATACCCGAGCAATGCAACACATGGGGGAAGAGAGAGGACAGACAAAAGTATTGCAGAGTTAATCTCTATATTCCAAGGCACGGAAAATTGTAGGTGAATTAAAAGACATTTCAATGGATCATTTGAGAAACTTAATAATGAAGGATTCAAGGCAAAAGGAGGAGCCACGTGATAATCAGTTAGGATCTATGCATAGAGTCAAGGGAAGGCGGAGGTCCCTGCTGCCATACTTCAGTCACACTAAGAGAATCAGTTACACCAGTTTCAGTGTGAACAAGTAATTGCAAAGACCAGCCAGTTGGTAGCAAACACCATACCTGTTTTTACAAGAAAAAAAGAAACACGGATGAGCTGTCACGCTTGAACACTTCCAGTATCAGCTGCATATTTACTGAATATGAGACGAGCTGCAAAGCTGCTGCTTCGTGTCATGTTTATATTTCTAGAAACATCTCATTATCTTGTTTTTCTGCAGCATAGTTTTCCTTTTCGTGTTTGCTGAGCTGCTTTTATACGATCGTACATGCAAATGTGGAAAAGAAACTGTGAGGATGTGTCACAACACACCGCAGGAACAGGCAGAACGGTAAAGGAGACAAAATAAATCTGTATCTGTTTGGTATGTTAATACTGGAGAAAACTGTCAGTATTTATGTGAAACCAAGTACACCCAAATATCTCATTCTGTTGCACACAAACACGCCCACACATCGAACGCTCAATGTCAGTATATTAATGAGGATAAATGTGAACTTGTATGAGGCAAACTAGAAGCCGGCGTCGTGCCGTTAAGTGGGCGAGAGAACGCCAAGAGTCTCTCTGTCTTCTGCTAATGTAACGACAAAACCAGATTATTCCTTTTAGTAGTTTGTTATAATAATCTGCACTTTTGCCAGCTCGTTCATCACGCACAATTAGTCACTTACACACACGCACACACTTTCACAAATGCTGACAGTCATGCCGGCTCACACGGGAATGTTTAGTCATTACATCTATTTTTGACCATACAAGACTTTAATAAATATGGATTTGACCGGAGCTGGAAGAGTCATGCAAAAATGCTTAATTCATTGCACATGAGTTGTATGCTTCCCATGGGCCTGTTTCATAAAGAAGTGAGTGATCAACGGGGAAGAGCACACACTCCCTGTGTATTAAGCCCGTTGTGTAATTGGCTCACAGCCGCAGCTGCCGGCTGTGGCTACACAAACATACTTGTTCAAGAGGATCACTGGTAGCAAGCTGGTATGGAGATAATCTACCCAGCACAAGAGCACAAAAAGTGTTGGTAAACTCTGAGGAGACGGACACGAAACGCATCAGGGAAGCAGAGCTAATATTATGCCTATCATCCTAGATATTGAGAAAAAACTGCTTAATTTTATCCGCTAATTCATGGTTTTCATGGGGAAATTGACATTTTTGCAAATGGAATATCTAAATTATAGCTAGATTTGCATGCTGAAACAGTGTGACCACTTTCACTCGTGAAACAATGAATGGGAAAGCGAATAGGATGATGGTTTAAGAAGTTCTTTGGACATACATGGCCCCTCTCAATTTCATGTCAAGATGCAGAAGTAACGCTCTCGGACTTATTCTTATTTTCCAACTGTGTCTGGCTGCATAGGAGCTCATTAAAACATAGGGAACGAACGTCTACTTGAGAGCAGAGCGACAAGACGCATTTTACAGATTTATTCTGCCCTGTTGGACACGTCAAGTTAGTCCCCCAAATGTCTGTGGATTGGCACAGCGGAAAACTGCTTCTTGCTTCATGCATTACCCTCACAGGGAAAACACATGTTTAGCTCTTTCTGTCTCACATTCTCAGTTCAGCGTTTTTTTCTTTTAATATAATTTAATTCTTCTAATTGAAAATGGTATCAAAAAAGTATGTCTCATAGGCTTTAACATTACACTTGCTTTCCGTCTTTTTTTAGGCTCGAACCTGAAGGTGAGGAAGTGAGAAAAAGCGATCCAACGGTCAAGTTTGGACCAGATGATCTTCTGCAAACAACTTCCTCCTGCATAATAAATCTCCACTGTGGAAAGTGCCTACAGCATTCAGCAAGCAGTGAAGTAGACTCATGGTCATGAACGTTCCCTCCACGTCTTTCCCAACAAAACAACCTCTCATCTAAGCTTTGTGTGAGTTGACAGAGCAGACAAGATGGCGGTCAGTTCGCAGTCGTGGCCTCCTCTACTCTGGCTGTTTATGGGATTGTTTCTTTCCTCTCCGTCATCCGTGTATGGCAAAGGCAAAGCGTGTCCACATCTGTGTGTTTGCGAGATCCGCCCTTGGTTCACCCCCCAGTCGACATACAAGGAGGCCACCACGGTAGATTGCAATGACTTGAGGCTCCTGAACATCCCTGCCAACCTATCCACGGATACTCAGGTGTTACTGCTCCAAAGTAACGCCATCTCTCACACCAGCGGAGAGCTGGAGTCGTTGTTCAATTTGACGGAGTTGGACTTGTCCCAGAATAACTTCAGTACCGTGGAAGCAGTGGGCCTCACAAGCATGAACCACTTGACCACCCTGCATCTAGAGGAGAACCAGATTAGCAAGCTGCCAGACCACTGCCTCGGAAACTTGTCCAATCTCCAGGAGCTCTACATCAACCACAACCAGATAAGCGCCATCTCCCCTCGGGCATTTGCAGGCATGCAAAGTCTTCTGCGCCTTCATCTGAACTCCAACAAGCTCCATGTCATAGACAGCCGCTGGTTTGAAGAAACACCAAATCTTGAGATCCTTATGATCGGGGAGAACCCAGTTATTGGCCTCCTAGACATGAACTTTAAGCCTCTCGGGAGCTTGAGGAGCCTGGTCCTGGCCGGCATGGACCTCACCGACGTTCCAGCAAATGCTTTTGTAGGTTTGGATAGCCTTGAAAGCATTTCTTTCTATGACAACAAACTGGTCAGAATCCCTCAACTGGCGCTTCAAAAAGTTCTAAATTTGAAATTCTTGGATTTGAACAAGAATCCAGTTCACAAAATTCAAGAAGGAGATTTCAGGAACATGTTCCACCTGAAGGAGCTGGGCATCAACAATATGATGGAGTTAGTGTCAATTGACCGGTATGCTCTGGACAACCTACCAGAGCTGACGAAGCTGGAGGCCACCAACAACCCAAAACTGTCTTATGTGCATAGGTTAGCCTTTCGGGACATGTCCTCGTTGGAGAGCCTGATGCTAAACAATAACGCCCTCACTGCACTTTACCAGCACACTGTGGAGGCGTTGCCTAATCTACGGGAAATCAGTCTGCATAGCAACCCGTTGCGTTGCGACTGTGTCATTCAGTGGATGAGCTCCAACAGGACCACAGTACGTTTCATGGAGCCCCTGGCCATGCTCTGCACCACCCCACCAGAACTCAGGGGAAAGCAGGTTCGACAGCTGAGGCTGCTGGAGTCCTCGGAGCAATGCCTGCCCCTCGTTTCCCAGAACACCTTCCAGAGCCACTTGGACCTGGAGCTGGGCATGACTCTCAGTCTTGACTGCAGGGCCATGGCTGAGCCAGAGCCTGAGATCTACTGGGTGACTCCTCTGGGGACCAAAATCACAACAGACTCGGTGTCTGAGCGCTACCACTTAAATAATGAGGGGTCCTTGCGGCTGTCACATGTTCAGGTGGAGGATTCAGGTCGTTACACCTGTGTGGCCCAGAACACAGAAGGAGCTGACACGCGGGTCGCCACCATCCGTGTAAATGGCACCCTGCTCGACAGCGCCCAGGTGATGAAAGTCTACGTCAAGCAGACGGAGTCACACTCCATCCTGGTCTCCTGGAAAATCAATTCTAACGTGATGTCCTCCAACCTGAAGTGGGCCTCAGCCACCATGAAGATTGACAACCCGCACATCACCTACACGGCGCGCGTCCCCGTAGACGTCCACGAGTATAACCTCACACACCTTCAACCATCCACAGAGTACGAGGTATGCCTCACGGTCTCCAACGTCCACCTGCAGACACACAAGTCATGTGTCAATGTGACGACACGTAGCGTTACCTTTGCCCTGGACCTGTCGGACCAGCACCCAAGTGCGGCCGTGCTGGCTGTTATGGCGACCATGTTGGCTTTCCTCAGCTTGGCCACCGTGGGCGTCTACGTAGCTCGCAGATGGAAGAGAAAAAGCTACCACCACTCTCTGAAGAAATACATGCTGAAGACGTCCTCCATCCCCCTGAACGAGCTTTACCCTCCGCTCATCAACCTGTGGGAGATTGACGGGGAGAAGGACAAAGACTGCGGTGCCGAGGGCAAACCGTCTCCTGTTGATACCACACGTAGTTATTACATGTGGTGAGGACTCAGTAAAGAGGCCGTGGCTGCCTCTCCAGCAGCACAAAATACACACTTTTTCCATTTGGGGGCAAAAGTCGAAGTTGCAAATGTTTTTTTTGTATTCTTAGCTTTGCTAATAAGAGGCAAAGTGACCAAGGACAGGATTTGAATTAGTATAGCGTATCGCCTCTGTTTGATTCGTAATCTTCTTTCTCTTAATTATTTTGGACTTTCCATGTTGGCAGCTGTATTTAGCCTCCAGGCTGTCTTAGTTGCTATGCTCTTGTTTCCATGGTGCATTTTTTTATATACTTTCCATTGGGTTAGTAATATAGCAGGAGGATCCTATGGTCTTCTTACCGCATTAGTAGCAATCAGTGGTTCTAATCTGTTGCAGAGTTTTTATGAACTTCAGTTAAAAGCTGACAGCGTGGTTTAGACTTGTTAACTGTCTACTGAATGTTAGCAATTGTGCAGTAATGTTGTATCAACTATACCTTTTAATTTTCTGATTAAATTGCAAGCGAATAGCTTTCGTAGTTTGCTGATAAATGTGATGTTAATGCTAGAAATATAAATGTTTATATATGTCTTTTTACTAAGGTGCACTAGAAACATTTTGACCCTTTCCCCTTTTACTCACCTATTTTGCTACACTTCTTGGCTAGTTTATTATTTTCACATGCATTCTGTATATTGAAGAAATTATAATAAATACCTTTTGTCTTTTTTGCAGAAAGTTGGCCTTTTTTTCAATTCCAATGCTCATCTTCTACTTCCGTTTCAGAAAGGCACTTTCCATCCCTGATGACACATGCTGTTGGTTGGAGTCTTACTCACATCTTAAAATAACTTCAACTCAGTCCAAAACAGTTTGAATCGGCTTTACACCATTACAGTGCTCACTTCCCTGAATCATCCTTACTGACAGAGTTTATACCCTGTCAGCTTAACTTCTCACTATGTGGCTGAGAGAAACACCTACTGTACATTCATTATAGATACAAATAGCAAGGCAGCTATATAGTTACTAGAGTGTGTGCTGCCCTCTGGTGGATGCTACACTTTGACTACAAAAAAGCCATCTTCATATGGTTGTCATGCAAGTCAGTACTGATAAAATACACAATAATTTGAGATTTAACATCAATTAACGGAAATTATTAACCTAACTATTTAGAACACACAAAGAAGGCAACAAATGGGCTTGGTTAGGATCCATTTAATTGGTTAGCATCCAGATTTATCAGTGATTGTAAATACAACAATAATCTTGCAGCAAATTGTAACAACAACTTGCGTGTTTCCGAACAAGAGGCTGACTTATTCAGTGCTCTCTTTACAATGTACCCAGAGGAGTAAAGAGAACGGAGGTATAGAAAAATACTGCTTTTTCTATGGAATTCTTATTAAAAAGTTAGGAAATTTCACATTTCTGAGGATATCTGCTGGAACAGAAGATATTCTCAACTCCCCGTCAGTGAGATGGCACATATTAAACTCCTGTCCTTGTTTTTCTCCACAAGCCTCAGTTTAAGATGACTGGACCTTTTCAGGTCACGTTTTCCCCTCGGCGACACATCGGAAACCAAGGTTGGAGGCTGCGCTGTCCGGAGTATTCTGGCTACGTGCTGCACATCGGTATCTGTAACAGTAAGACTGGAGAGGGGGGAAAGAAAACAACAAAATTTACCCTGGAATTAATTTTTTTAGCAATGGAAACTGCTTTGTTACAGAATGCTACAGAAAAAAATAAATGAAAAGAAAAAAAAAAACACAGCAAGCATTTTAGTTCAGCCTGTTCATCTTGACTAAGGCCACCTGACTGATGTTCTCTGCTCCCTCAAATGAGTTATTCATATGAAACAAACTAGACCTTTGTGGACTTATTTTGCATGCAATTAGTCACATTGCCATGGCAACCAATGGTTATGGTAAGAAAACTGGAATGGTAACCGGCGGCTCAGATGGTGTTGGGGATAGAATAAATGCACCATATCGATTATTACCAGCTTTCTCTTCCCCACCATTTCACAATTTTCAGGTTTCTTGAATCCAGAAGTGACACTGACAAAGCGGCCACGTGAATGAGAATGCACTAGCAAGGAAACGACTTTACATTACAGGAAGTAAGGAGAGGAGGCAAGATCTCACCTTTGTAATCAAACAATTGGAAAGTAAAATCACAAATATGAAAGACAATTTCTAATTTCATGTTAAAAAAAAAAGAAAAACTGCTGAAACACACAATACTGGTTGTGTTTCTTTTTACCTTGTGGCACATGTAAGAGCCTCCCTTCTTCACTTTGTCTGTGCCTGATGGAGGACCCGTCTGAAAGGGAGATAAATGATCAGACATCAGGGCGAAAACTAAACCTGCACAAGTCAAAGGTTTGGAGGCATCGTCTTCTTACTGGGTTGCGTTGTCTCTCTGTGGTGTGATGCACAGCCCACCAGTCTGCGGTCCATTCCCATGCATTCCCGACCATGTCGTACAGACCAAACGCATTGGCGGGAAAGGACCTCACCTGTAATTGCGTTTACCAGAATGCACATGTGACTGAGGGAACCTTTCAAGAACTCATAAATAATTGCGTGTTCAATCTGGATTTCCAGCAAGTACTTTCTGTTTTTCCTCCCAACACGAATAGCTGCTTCAATGAGATAGTAACACATTTGTATCATTATAAATCAGTGAGGCATGAACATGCCTGTGTTTGATTAGAAAGATACACTATACTTAAACGCCGCATACCCTTGAAAGAATCGAGAGTGCATATATTCATGATTGATATACCTCTGAAGCGAGACTTTAAAGCTCCCCCTGCAGAGAAAGAGATTGGTTTAATATTATACATTACTGGCTTCTTAAACAAGCCCTTATCTTTAGCACCAAATAATTCCTGCAGATTTGATGGATATTGGCTCAATTATAAACCTGTTTTTAGTTTTGTGGCAATGGCTCATGAATGAGTCTCCCGATTCCTCCCTAACCTGAATCATGAAACACTTTTAACACACCCACAACAGCGGCGTCTCCCCCTCTTTCATTTTCGTACCGGTGAAGTTTTCATGTATCCGTCTTCTGCAGAGTTGTGGTTGGGAAAATCCCCCTGCCACAGGTTGGCATAGTGTTGTCCTTTAGGGTTCAACTTGTTTCCCCAGGGGTAAAGTCTACATAAAGGGGCGTTAGATCAGAAAATTGACATGTGACAAACTCTACTAAAACCACAGCATAGACGTATTTTACAGTCACACAATGAGTAAACATTGTACCGGTCTTCTAGGCCGCCCCTGCAGGCGTACTCCCATTCTGCCTCTGTAGGAAGTCTCCCGTTGGCCCAGGAGCAGTAGGCTCCTGCATCTGCCCAGGACACGTGTAGAACAGGATGGTCCGGGCTGCAAACAATAGGTTTAAAGTTTAAAGCCTGTATTTGGTTTCAGTTCACTTTGCAACGATAAAGGACTGGCGTAACAAAATCCAAATAGGAACAAAATCTACAGTCAAGGTTCTGCATAAGAGACTTTTGACAACAGCTGTATCGGGAACTTATCAGCGACTTAAGCAGCATCTCCTCTTGTTTAATTCTGTAGTTCTTTGATAGATCTGTGTTGAATAAATGATTACGGTTGTCTTGTTATATGGATAATACGCCACTTAATATCCAAGTATGCTTTACATTTTGTGTCCTCATTGCAAATATGGGATTAGTAGTCATATTGGGTATTCCCCATGTAAGTACTATCTTTCTACATGTCTGTGATGTCGGAGTCTGGACCATTGGGACACCTCCAGTTGGCCCCCTTCACTGGAAGCCACCAGGGGGCAGCAGCCACCTAAAATCACAGTGAAATAAACTATTGTTACTGACTGATACAAAGCTTCATTAATACTCTTAAACACCCAGACACACTTTCTTTGGCAGAAATAAATTCAATTATACTAATAGTTTCCAGCATTGCCACACTAATGGGTACACAGCGCCTTCTCAGCCCCATAATCAGGCTGCACATGACAGCTGAGATGAAGCAGCAAGTTTCCTGATGTCTGGCTTTTGTCTGTGGGAGGCCTGTTGTGCTCACGTCTCTTACATAATCTGTGAACATTCTCAAGACTCTCAAACAACAAGTGCCTCGGAGTCTATATAAAGACAAAATAAATGTGCCCGACAGCTTGGTGCACAAATATTACGCTACAAATAGTAAAAATAATTACGGTGAGAGACATCAAAATAATATCAACGTTTATATGTAAAAATTGCATTTTTCTTACACATTACGCAGGGAGTCTTTTCTTCTTCTTACATGGCTCATGTGCCAGTTAAAAACTGGGTGTTTACCGCAATAAGTACATTTCATAGTTGTTAGGAAGCAATATAAAACTGATGTTAATTGTATTATGTTGTTATTCAATTTGAAGCAGTAGAAGCATACAGGCAGACGTGCAGACATCCTCCTCGCCTAAAGTTGTTCCAAATTTCCAAGGCAATTGCGTAAGGCTGGCGCCTGCGTCTTTACGCACCGTTGTGTCGACGCACTCGTTTCAATTCATGGTTCTAAAAGTCTTGCGTGTGTTGCAGAGCAATTCACCTCCAGAACAATCGGTGGAGTAACGTGTTTTTGTCGAAGACGACCTAGAGAGTCACGTCTTTGTGTGTGGAAGTTGTTTGTTTGTTTGTTTATTTATTTATCATAGACTTTATTGCCCCGTGCATCGCCACTGCTGCTTTTCATCGCGAACACATTTGTCCCGTATTTTCCTGCACAACTTGACCGGCAAACCGACGTTTGCGCCGATCTCCCTCCATGAATCAGAGGCCATCCGCGCGTCCTTATAGTCCGCCAATGACGGCTTGTATAAGCGGTCATATTTACGGATTTCTTCCGACAAAAGTTCTTCAATCTGATCCGTTCTCTCGTGAACATCATTCGTTTTAATTATGGCGGTATCGGGCTATGAAAACGGAAATGTGAGACTCCGTAAAGGGACGTAGTTAGCAGACCAGTCACAGGCTTGTGCGCTGCAGGAGGCTTTCGACGCAAGCCTAGAAAAAGGGGTCGACGCACGGAAGGCGGTGTGAAAAGACACGCAAGGGACACTCAAGGGGCTCTTGCGCCTGCGTGTCCTTGCGTCGCTCTGAAAACGCAGAAGCGTAAACTCGGCTAAAGAGTGAGCAATGTGTACATTTCTGAAGTGTTTCTTCTACGGGGCTCCAGAAGGCTGAGGCCAATAATCATGGCTCCAATAGTGATGCAGTGTAAAGAAGTGAGCCGTACAGGTGTGGCGAGAGTTGACAATTCCTACTTACCGCTTGGGTGATTTGGTTTTTCACACCCGCGCTCAAAATCCCCTCGAATACAAATGAGTCTCCAAACTTCTCTGCCTGAAATCAGGAGGTCAAAAATAGTTTGAACAGTGATTTCTATTAAACTTGGATGAACAAAATAACCATGACAACAGAATTGCTTTTAAACTAATTGGTTTATTTGAATAAATACATTTCTATTGATTTAGAAAATACAGCTGGTCGTTAAATATTTTGATAAATACCTCAGTAATATACCCTGTTGCGTTGACAAAGCTCTGGAATTGTTGGTTAGTAACTTCTTGGGTGTCCATGTAGAAGGAGTCAACGTGCACCAGCCTGCGAGGTCCCTCGCCATCTGGGGGGATGCCTGGATCGTCAGTTCCCATCCAGAACGGTCCTCCAGCAATCAGCACCATCTGTATGAAAGAAAGGAAAAACGTTTTGACATTTTTCTCGAGAAGAAAAGTAGTTCTATGAGGAATTTTACGTTTGAAAAAGAAAAAAGCGAGCATGCCACTGGGAGCCCAGTCTGACTTAAACTCTTGTTTCCCAAAAGGTAAACTCACCAGTAACACAACCCTACAATGGGACAACAGTCGGAGACATTGAATCTGATTGTAGCTGAAAGTGAACATCATCCCAAACGTTGCCGTGTTTCAAATGGCAAGCATTGATGAAATTAATAAAAAATGGAGTTTCATAGTGTGTCTTTATCAAGAAGGCTAGAATGCTAATATGCTAATTGCTGTTTGTATGCTACTATTACAGCCTCTGCAATCCTTTTATAGGTTAAAAGGGTGTTTCTGACTTCAACTGAATATTCATGTTTACAACAGAAATGATTTTTTTTGCAAAAACCGCATCATTCCTGCCAAGCTCATGCCACCTTAGACTTCTTGATAATAGTTTATAGTTTATTTTTGCTTATAGGAATAGTAAATCGAACTATTATCGCATTACTCGATTACATTTTTGTACACCCATGCAAATATAGTCAGTGTATAGGCTATAGCTATAGGTGTTTCTTTTTTTCTATAATTTCCCTTGAAATGGTGTATGTCCATCTGGCCCAAGTGTCTGCCCTGCTGTGATCTGTTCAACAATGTCAAAACAAACAGACGGCAGTGATGGAATACCTGACCCTGCGGCCTTCCATTAGCGCCTTCTGAGTACTTGTGTGCAGGCGCTGCAGAATCCGAACCCTCCTCCGCATGCTGCTGAGCGCCGTCTCTCCTCAGCTTGTCACAGCCGCAGCTCGCTGCTCCCTGCGGGGGGGCCGCTTCCGAGTGAGCCCCCTGTGCACCCTGGATCAACAACACCCCGATCACACTAGCAAACACGAGGCACAAATAAAATAACCGCATCATTCATGCAGGACGACACTCAGGATCCGCTCATTTTGTTTGTCGCTCACTCGCTTCCGTAAAGTCACGTGGTCAGTCAGCTGGGTGCGATGTAACTGTTTCCTGCCCGGGGGGGGTATTTGTTGTTCTTTTTTATTTGAAGGAAAATTGTTGAAATTATTTGTAGGGATTATAAATATAACAGATGCCTGTTTTAATGTAAATAATATCGCGTCCTTTACAATCACCGTTCAAGATACTGTTCAAACAAAAACTAAACGAGTAAACGTTTTATATTAAACACTTTTTTTTCGCACCGTCGAAATGTAAAGCTCCAGGGTGCGAGTCATAAACCCTCCTGAATTACCCCTGGAGGCGGGATGGGACCACATGGACATCATTTCCCAGCTGCCAACACTACGGCCGCTCGAGACGAAGAAGAAGAAGAAGCAGAAGAAGCAGAAGAAGAAGAAGAAGAGGAGGCGGCTGAGCAGCGCCCGGCCCGCCGCACAGAGGGAGCGCAGCCCGGAGCACCGACAGGCGCGGAGAGGTGGGCGACTTGACGGAAATAAGTGCCTTGGTTTCAGTCGCTGAAAGCTGGCTCTCCCCCCTTTGGTTTGGCGGTGAAGAGGGAGAGCTCCAGTCATGTTGTCGTAGCCCGGAGGCTCCAGAGGAAGCGAGCGCGTTTCACCGCGACCGAGGTAAAGTTTGAAGTTTTGCCATCCTCTCTTTCTAATCTCCTACCGGAGAAACACGGGGCTTTTTTTTTGGTTCGCACTCCTTAAATGGTTGACAAAATGCTCACATCTCATCAGCCGCGCGTGTGATGTCGTCGTGTGCACAACAGGGTCCAAAAAAAAGCCCCACAACAATCGAGGAAAACGAGAGCGATGAACATTTCGGATTACTGTGAAACTGTGATTGCGAATCAGAAGAGCGGTGGACACGTTGTTTTCCAGCGTGATTTATTAGTCCGATAAACTGTCATGTAAGGAAGATTAGTTCTTCCGTGAAACAGTTTACCATCCAGTGATTTATGTCAACATTTCAGCCTTGCAACACTCGGCGCTCTGCCAAAGCTTCCCACCAATATTTCTTTAAATGTTTTTTAATGATTTATCAACATCCGTGTGAGAGGCAGCTCCTCTAAAACAAGCGGAGAAGCTGAGCAGTGGAGCTGGAGGCTTATCGGCTTCCTCACGACCTGTTGCAGGTGCTCTTACCCTTCCTGTTAGGTCCTGCAATCCTCAGCCGCCATACACACACACACACACACACACACACACACACACACACACGGGTAACGGTGGCATCACAGCATTTCCCTGCAGATTCTATGCAAATGTCTGCAGGTGCTATGTTGTGTAAACCTGTCAGGGAACCATATCTTTTTTTTCTTTTTCTTTTTTGCACCGCCGAGTCACTGGTTACTCAGTGTGGATTTCTGTTGATTTTCATATCTTCAAATGCAAAGTGATAGTGGGCACATGGTAATCCACCAATGGGGTTGTCTATGAACAAATATCATTGTAGCTCAATATCCGAAATATTCCAGATATTTTCTAAACTGAATTCCAAACTGCTGTGTTTTAGACTTTAGTTGAAGTTGTCTCACACTAATACTGTGTGACTAATTTGGACTCCTTCTCTTCCCTAAGTTGCTCCCTGTGTGTAAAACATGTCCGACAAGATGTCCAGCTTCCTACACATCGGGGACATCTGCTCCCTGTACGCAGAAGGATCCACCAATGGCTTCATCAGCACCCTGGGGTACGTCCATTCTCACCTCCCAAACATTATGTCTGTAGGGCCGCTTCACACTTTTCTTTGTCAAACTGCAGCATGAGTATTTGGAAGAAAGGACGTCACAACCGTAGCAGTGACAGAAAGACAAATATTTCATATATTCAGCAATGGCATTTTATTCTATTATGTGTTTTTGTGTGCCTGGTGAACATTTGCATGCATTGTGGGAAACCCTTTGAGGACACAATGGGATTAAGCAACTATGAAGAGATACATGGATGTAAGTTCAAATTCTATCACAGAAGAAAGCCGTGGAAACATTAGGAGGCCTATTGAAGTGTTGCTTTGGCGATTGGCTGCCCCCCCCCCCCCAACTGATGGTGTTGATAGAAAGGGAAATAAATGTGGGTGGTGCCGCATACGATACTAGATGCTAGTAAACCTCTTTTTTTTCCAGCCAGCCACACATGCAGAAATGTTATTGTTTTTGTGCATTAGTTCTACCTCTTGAAACACAATAAAAGCAGTTCTGACTTTTGACAAGTAATATGCATATTCATCAACTAAACCTATATTTATCTTAAGAAGCATTGTGTCTAGAATCTCTAATGCTATCTGGACTGTCCATGACCCCCCTCTGCTCATTAATTATGGAATGACCTACAGCAAACCCACTACTGACATATTGTGGCCTTTGTCGAGTTCCCATGCTTCACACACACACACACACACACACACACACATATATATACAAGTGTGCATATCTACAAAACTATCATGACAGATTTGGTCAGGAGCCATCTTCTCCACGCACAACTACCAACTCTGCAGTCTTCCCCACAACAGCTGGCCTGAGAAGATCTCCTGTAAGAAGAAAGAAAGCTCTTTGGGCATTATGGCTTTTCCATCTCCGCAGTATTCCCAGCTCGAAACTGGAGACTGGTATCAGGAGCAAAAAAATCCTCTTTTGTACAGTGCAGCAAGAGCTGTTTGATAAGTGCAACTGCTGCTAATTATCAGGTGGATTAGAAAACAATGTGCATATTTCGCCCATGCAGTTGACCACACAGACATATTGGGGGATTTCTTCCAAACACTAGAGAATGTTTTCTCACTTTTGTCTTTTAAGTTTGCAGCCTGGTTCCTTGAGGTGTATAGACTGGAGCAGTAGACCGGTCTGTTTGGACAAATGCAGACATTCCCCGGGAAAAGGCCTGAAATGGATGTGGGATTTGGCCTGTGTCCAGCAGAGTGATTTTTTTTTTTTGAGCCAGTTTAAGTCAAATGCTCGCCGGTCATCGAATCCAGAATTATTTCATTATTGTGGAGAGTTGAAATGGATTTATAAAAATAGGAAACAGGAGTTGAGTTTGGAACATGTGGAACAAGCTTTTGATGGGAGACTTTGTTTTAGCCACAACCACTGTATGATCATCCCCCAAAGCAGTTTGCACACAATCTCACGTTACAGCAGTGGTGCACAGTAGCTCTTTTATAAGGAATATTTACACATTTGCAAAAACGTTTGCCACAGTGCTTCAAAGACAAAAATGACGTCTTATTAATTGTTTCATTTGATTGTCAAATTCATCAATTTACTTGTTTTAGAGAATACTAAATTGTTTAAAATCCGATTTTATTATCAAAAAATAATTCCCCAGTAATTTAGGGTAGCGTTACTATTAATAAACATCAGTTTCAACACATTTCTTTAACTCAAGAGGAAATAACAAAACATCATAACTTGCAACTTTAGTATTTTAGTTCATTACAGTACACTGGGGCATCAGTGAAAATAAAGAGAGAATATATTTGAACCACGTCAATGTTAACAATATGTCAAATAGGATGCACAGGTTTTGGAACACAGAACTCTGATAGAACGTAACTACGTGTTTACATCCACAGCTTGGTGGATGACCGCTGTGTCGTCCAACCTGACGCGGGAGACCTCAACAACCCTCCAAAGAAGTTCCGAGGTAAGCGAGGCAGCAGAGTCCCCTCGTCCCGCCGAGGCCTGACCGCATCACGCCAACTGCTGTCTGTTTATACTGCTGGCTCCGTGAGAGAGACACTGCTCAATGTGTTATGCTGTGTTTCTTTGGTGACAGCCACAATACACGCCCGCTGGAGTTCGAACAGGACGTCCGTTGACGACGTTTATGCTGTGTGCGTGTTGTGCGCACATGATTATGCATCCAAGTATGTCTTAATAGCTGCGTGTGGCACACTTTGCTTGTGGAGATCGAGGCTGATAAAGATTCAACACACTTATTTTTTTCTTCTTTTTTTTTGTTTTTGTTTTACAAAAACCTTGAGATGCCTTTATGGGTGAACTTGCTATTTTTAGCTCCCATACCGGAAGTGGACCTCATGAATCTCTGTTCTCAGGCTGGAGGTTCATATCTCCATGGAGCGGCCTGGCCCACAATGAACAGAGTGTGCTTGTGTGGCATAGCTGATGATCCAACATTTAAAAACTAAATATTCACTGTAATATTCTAATCCGGAAACACAACATCATGGTTTTGGTTGAGCAGGGGTGCAAACATTTTATTTATTTTTATATATATAATCTTTTGGCTATAGATGTCTGTCTGATTTTCCAATGTCGAGCAGCTTGACTTCAAAGGGTCAGTTTGACTTTGAAGCGTATCATCACACAGACGCTGTCGCTATGCATTTAGGGTGCTATCTGCTGCCTCTAGAGTATAAAGATTTTACCGCATTTAGAAAGTTGATAGCTTTGATCTCAACAGCACCCACGCACTCAGCTCTCCAGGGGCTCTACGGTGTCCCAGGACAGGTTATCTCCCACTAGAGACCATTACTGTCACCGCGATAAACACCGGCTGCAGACTGAAACCTCCTGCAGCAACAAAAAGGAGAGGGTTTTTTTGCTCTGTCTTTGTTGCAGGCTCTATTTCTGTCAAGTGTATTTCATCTTTTGCCTCTTGTCTCCTCTAATCTTCCACCCTCATACACTCTTTGTTCCCCCCTAGTTACTAATAAAACTCATCACATGGTACTGTTCACTTAAAGATGCAGTCCCGTTCCTAATCTGCCCCACGGCCGTCCACTAACTAAAGTTATGGCAGGATATTGCAGATCTGTTGTAGAAGTTCCAACCTGCCATTTGGTGTTTTTCAAAATTTGGGCAAAAAATACAAACAAAAATGAAATTGTGGCTGAAGCTTTGTTCAATAGATTCATTTTTAACACCATGTCTTTACAACCCAATGGCGAGTCCTTCACTGTGTCCGCTGGTCTTGAACAGAAAAGGCCTCTATGTCACTGTGAGAGGCCTCTGGAGGTCTCAACCTATGTAAACATGTGTATTATAGGATCATATGGAGGT